TGCGGCGGCGGTGGCGGCCGCTGCCGCCGCGGCCGCGGCCGCGGCGACATCGCAGGGGCTGCTGTCGGCCGTCGTGGCCGCGGCGACGTTGCTCTGTGGCGACGAGCTGATGCAGAAGGAAGGCACGAATTCCGCGGCGTTGACATTCAGGGTGGAGAACTTGCTCTCGATGGACTTGTCCTGCGACGTAGGCGGGCCGACGATGTCGCCGTTCGTGTCCGCCTGCTGCTCCCACGAGTCTGGTGCTATGCTGTTCGCCATATTAATCAGTTGTTTCAGCGCGCACACAGCCGGCCCGCTAGGCTAAACGGATAATACGATTCTCGCGACGAAGGGGGTGGGAGAGCGAGCGAGCGAGCGAACGCGCGCGCAAGAGAGAGAGAGAGAGAGGAGACACGGAGAGAGAGAGGGAGACTGGGACACGAGGAGTCGCACACGCCGCAACGGACCGCCGCGCGTTCCGGACACGATCCGATGATCCGCCGGGGGTTACCGGGCTCGGGACGGGTCTTAAAAAAATAGTTATTTTCTTCCAGCACACGTCTTCGCGTATACACACACACACACACCCCCCGCGTACACACGCGTACGATCGCTATTCCGCGTGCGTGCGTGCGTGCGTTCCCCGTGGTCTGCTTGGTCTGCTTCGTTGCTGCTGCTGGCTGCTGGTGCTGCTGGTGGTGGTGGCGCTGCTGCCACACCGCCGCACTTGGACCGGAAGTACCGGGGGTCGCGAGCGCCATCATGGGGCCGCACGGCGGAACACGCGGACACGCGGTTATCACGGACCAATCGCCGGCGAGCGCGCTGGACAAAAACTGCCCCCGCTCTAGTTACCGACGCCGCCAATCGGAAGGACGATCGTCAGGACGGCGGCAAAAGTACAAATGTTTGAAAGAGACAGATGGTCGAACGTTGGCCGCATTACAGTGGAGAAAACTGCAAGGCGAGCGCTTGCGCCGATTGGATTGTTCTTTAAACATCTAGAAGAATAGTTGTATCACAGCACAGATCTGAAAGTACGACCCGATCAGCGCGAAGCGCTCACTGAGCTACTTTCTCCGCTGAACGCGTCCGTTGTATAAAGGCCTGTGTCCACGACGCTAGGACTTGGTCCAAATTCTAGTTTCGAGAAATATGTAGCCAATCAAGTTGCAGCTATTCCATAAAAGCTGCGAGTCGATTCGCTACACACTTCTCGGGATTAGAATTTGGACTAAGTTCCGGGAAACATGTGGCCAGCCAATGTGCAGCTTTTATGGAATAGCTGCTAGTTGATTGGCTGCACATTTCTCGGAACTAGAACTTGAACCTAGGCATCGTGGACACAAGCCTTTGCGGAAAAGCTGCACGCTGATTGCCCACACATTTGTCGGAACTAGAACTTTGACACAGTTCTCGAGGCCTGTGTCTACGATGCTAGAACTTGGTCCAAGTTCTAGTTCCGAGAAATGTGTAACCAATCAACTAGCAGTTTTAGGTCCCAGTCTACAATAGGCGATTTAAACCCTAAGCTCCAAGAAATTGACCAATCACAATAAAAGATGAGGAGAATACTCGACCGTGATTGGTCAGTTTCTTAGGGCTTAGGACTTAAATCATCTATCGTAGACTGGGATTTAGAGACAACGCGCATTTGTATTTTACTTACGTATTTGTAATTGGAGATTGTTGTAGAAGTCTGGTGTTTATTAAAAATTCGATCCCTAATTAGGGATATGGAGAATAATCGGTCATTCTTGCTGCCACATACTTAAATGCAAAATGATTGAGTTTATATTTATATAATATTACATATATTTATATAATTGATTCCGTAGAACATAGTTTTCGTTAACTTGAACGAATAGTGATCCTTGCTCTTAAACGCACAGTATTTCAAATCCTCGTCCATATATTATACAAACGTAAAACGCGATGCCCACGCAGTCAGGCATTCTGTTAATCACATTAACACTTGCATGAATAGTATGACAAGATGACATAATTACAATTATAGCTAACAAATTTTTAAACTTACCTAAAGGGTCTCAAGTCATACAAGCTCATGCCTTGCACGTCCGCAACAGATGTAAATGCCTGACCGCGTTGATGACAACTTATAACGTTATCCTCATATGCATAATCGTAGACAATCACTTTTTGATCAGCCCCCACGCTATATATTGTATAATTCTCACAAAACTCCACACCTGTTGGTATCGAACACTTTGATAAATTTTTACGAGACTTGCGGAACATGCAATATACATACATATGTACATTGTTTAGCTTAAGAGAAATTAACTGACCGACGATTTTTGCGGAATGTGCGGACGCTGTGCTCCATTTGGATAATATTTCAGCTGACAATTGATTATCTTCCGAAGTGCAAATCTTAAAACAGATGACACTTAGAAGATTATCGTCACCACCAGTGGCCAAGAGGTACTCGTCCTCGTCTAAATCTCCGTTCTCAATTAAATCAAAGCAATTGATTCCCGACTGATGCAGGCTAAACACTGCGACAGGGATATCGCTGAAGTCTAGGATTCTCTCGTTTCCAAAATATGCATCCTTGTATATTTTCTCGATAATTTTGGCAAAATCGAAAAAACGCAACTGCCCGTCGGTGCTCATAGTTAACACAATTTTGGATTTCTGTGATAATACACTTATCTTCAAAATGCAACGATCTACGTATTTGGTGGATACTTTCAAATATAAGTTGTTAGTTATGGTATCATACACAAACAGTCTGTAGGAGAAAAAGAGGACAGTATTATATTTCACATCTCTGTTAAGCGCATAGCACACTCGATGAACTAAACAGTTGAATTACCTTAAATATCCATCTGCACAGGCGATAAAGAGTAACACGTATCTTGACACATGAATAAACTGGTAAGCAAAAATATCCATGTAACGTGTTTCTGGTTCTGCGATAAAAGATTGCACGGTTTCTTGCCATGGTTTTTTACAACATTTTTGTTCATAGAGCATATGAGAATTCAGGTCAGAGCAAAATACACCGTTGTCTCGGAAAGTTATCCCCCAAACCTTCAATTGTGCTCTCCCTCCGCCAGAAAAGATTAGATAGTTAAAAGAGCAATGCCTTGAATACATGGGAAAGCCACTTATGCATTTTATGCCTGAAATATGGCCATTGAAGATTCCTAAAGTTTTAAAAGTGCGCCGAGCGAAGTTTCGACTCCCGACTCCCGAAATTTCGCTGATACGAAGAGCGCCGTCCTCGCCACCAGTTACAAGGATATCTCTGTCCTTATCTTCAGCACTGTGTAAACGCCGTGGAATATAATGCAAGCAACATATTTCCTTTGGGTGAAAGCCATTCTAGATTATAAAAAAAAAAACACAAATGTAGAATTGAATGGTTTTCTTCTCAAGAATAATGTTACGTACCTGCAAACTCCTGTGATAAATTTTTGCAGGAAAGAGAAAAGAAGATAAATCGCATACATGAATCTCTTTATCTTTCACATACGCAAAGCTTGCTTTTGTAAGCGATATTATATAGTCCCACGATCTGTGACCACCACCGCAAGGAATTTGTACGACTATGTTCTCATTCAACATATTATATATTATAAATTCCATCTAAAAATATTATCAGGAAAATTTCTTTCTATTATATGTGTACACACATATGCACGGTGTTTCATCACGAAATGTTGCCAGCCTAATCGAACGATCATTCTAGGCAAAATAATTGTATATATAATTTACATTATACCTCTTTAAAGCCAAATATAAAAAGAATGTCGTCGTCTTCCGACTTGTTTGTTAATTCGTTTCCATTTAACATGCCACTGATCCAGTTTATTGGCATCTTCTTTTTATATTGCAGCAACAAAGGCTTTGCGTCCTCTGCGCGCATTTGATAAAATCTCAACATCCCGTCGCGCCCACACGTTATTAAATTTTTCTGAGATACATGGAACGATTGGACTCCCATTTTACCATGGACTCTATAAAGTGTTTGAACAGGCTTCTTAATTCCAATTGTTACATTGGAATCAAAACGATTACTGTCCAGCTTGTATATATAAATATTTCCAACTCTGTCACCACATATTAATATCGACATGGGAGCGTAGACTATAGCTGCAGTCAACCAGCGTTCGCGACTGGATGGCAATATACATTCTGTGATCACTTTAATGTCATCTGTACAAAACCCTAATGTTAAATACGTTCTAAAACACATTACGATATGGTTGCACAAGTAATTACGCACTATTCTCTGTCAGCCAGAATAATTTCAGAAGACCATTTGCTCCACATGCTATCAATTCATTGTCGCTCAACCAATGTAAAGAAAGGATTTGCGAATTCATTATTTTGTCTTCCTTACACTGTCGTAAAGTCCTAAAGTTATCTAAAAATATATTATAAATCATTTGACTTTTATAAAAAAGATATTTATAAAAATCCGTCCACGTTAATATTAAGATTTTTATTGCAAAGAAAAAACATTCTTACGTTCGTATACTGTTACGTAGCCTTCTCTAGACGCAAGGGCAACCATGTTGCGATTTGGAGAGACTTGCATAAAGTAATAGCCATTCTTCGTTAAGTATACAGCACTTACAAACACCATTTCTTTGTCGTAATACAGTAGATTTCCCAATTCGGTAAAAACTAACATTGCACCATCGTGCAGATAGGAAATGTACTTAGAACAGTTGCGCGTATTGTTGCCAGACGGCAAAATTGTCTCTGGGCTTTCGCAGTTTATAAACGATTGCACACACACGGATCCATCACTTCCGCCCACATATATCTCCGTATTGTCTTCAGATACGTCAATGCTCCATAGGGATGCTTTATAGCAGGCTTTGTGAATTAAGTGCCCTGAGAGCGACCACGTGCACACAAGCGAATCCTGAAGCAGTGGAAAATTTTAAAAGACATCCGCGTAAAAGTAACTTGTGACATTCATACGTAATTTAAATCTCACTTCTCCTATCGTCAAAACAACGTCGTTTCTAATTAAAGCTTTCCAAACTCTAGCTGTATGCAGGAACAGTGCTTTTGTCGGCACTATTTTTACTGTCTGCCAGTTTATGTTATTGCTCTCGGTATTTTCCTCATCTGTCACCTCCCAGAGTCTGACACTTCTATCGTCCGACGTGGAGCAAATAAATCGCGAGCGCAGATCGCAAACAACAGAGAAAACGACACCCTACGATAAGTTTACGTGATAAAAGTTTTATCTGAAAATTTTGAGCCTTCCTTCCAACAATAAATACAACTGCCGAACCTTGTGCCCTGTTAAACGATGCAAAACTGGCATACTTGTATTATTGTCACAATATCCTTTATCTATTTTCCATATTAAAATTTCTTGAAATGCCGTTCCACTGAAAATGACCAAGTCCTCTTGACAGGTTCCCGATATAGAACCGCCATAGCTTAAATATTAATTAAGGACATTATCACTTCAATATTGCTCGTCTACGTAAGACGTTCTCGAATCAATGAAAATCGCAAAAGGATACAGAATGCATTTCTCTTCGCAACGTATAACTCGAGAAGTTTTTTCAAGTACATCATATATGGACACATAATTGTGGGCAAATAAAATCGCCAATTGAGTTTGTTTCTTAAACGGTATCCACTTTGCAGCAATTATCCAGTCATTGAACTGATCGGTACCTAGCTTGCGAAGAAGACTATACACAAACAAACAAGATATTTCGATATTTGTTTAACAAAATATTATAGTACATCGAACACAGAACGTTTCAAACTGTGCTAGTATGTTCTGTAAGTAAAAATAAAAATGTCACACATACATAGATCGACAGCCGTTACAGATCTACGTTTGTGTAACAGCTTTTCTTATTTTCATTCATAGAGCATTTTAGCTTTGGGATAGAGGAAAGTCCTCTGTTACGAGACAACAGGTTTTCGACACCCAAATTCAATCACAAATTCTTTTTTGCAACGATTACCTACACAATCTAACGATGAATTTTCCACTAAGCAGATTTCGCTCCAGGGGCAATAAATTCACGGTGGACTCGACTGACGATTAATTTAACAGAAACTCCGCAATCCCATATTAGCGACCGATCTCATAACAGGGGACTTTCCGCCATACTTCTGTTGTATTTAAGTACAATTGATATACCTCTTATTGTTGCTAAAGCCACACCGGTCGCACCAGCATTCGCCAATTGCGCAGATGCACAGAGACTTGGCGCCAAACACAGCCAATTTACTATCGACATGCCTTTCAGAATATTCGTCCGCTACAATGCCGTGTATATTATTCGGATACAGACAGTTGACGTTATCCTTCATTTGGCCATGCCTATATAAGTAGAGCATGGGGCCCATACCTGCCGCATTAAATAAGAGTTTTACAAAGCTGAGGAGACTCACAATCGACTTAAGTTTAGCAAATTCGCCCCGCGAGGCGTTACCAGCCCTCGTAGACTTCTGTTAACCCTTTCGAGACTGCGGGTACACATGTGTACCACCAATCAGTAAAAAAAACCGTCTTGAAAGGGTTAATCTCTGGCAACATTACTTATACAATATTGTACAATGTTTGTGCTACAATCGCGTGACAATTTACACAATGTTACAATATAACGTTAAGTAAAAAATTTCTCCAATTATTAA